CCCCCCCCCCAATGCTGCCCTCTCCAGAATCCACCCCCCAAAACTCCAGGTATTTCCCTCCTTATAGCTGGCAACCCTACTTTCCCCTCAGTGCCTGATGGTAGGCAACTTAGTTTGGTCCAGTCACCTACTTTGGCCTTTGGGAGAAAACATATTGGGGCCAATCCTGATAGGGTTGCCAACTCCCGATGGGAAATTCCTGGAGATTTGAGGGATGGAGCCTGAAGAGGGTGAGGTTTGAGGAGGGGTGGGACCTCAGACAGGTACAATGCCATAGACTCCACCCTCCAAACCACTCAGTCCCTCATGGGGATCCATTGTTGCCAATCTCCAGGTGAGGGCTGGAGACCACTCAAAATTACAATTGCTCTGCAGAAGGGAGGGCGGAAGTCAGCTGAAGTCAAAGGGGCAGATAATGGTAGGTTGATGGTTAGCTGGGAAGGAGATGGGTTTGCCAACTCCAGGCTGGCAAATTCCTGGGAATTTGAGGGGTGGAGCCTGGAGAGGGTGGGGTTTGCGGAGGGGTGGGACCTCAGACAGGTAGAATGCCATAGACTCCACCCTCCAAACCAGCCATTTCATCCTGGGTAACAATTGTTGCCAATCTCCAGGTGAGGGCTACAGATCACTCAAAATTACAACTGCTCTTCAGGGAGCAGAGATCAGTTCCTCTGGAGAAAACAGTGGACTCTGCCATTATACCCTGCTGAGGTCACCACAGCAAAATGACACTGTTTGCCCAAAGCCAGAGCACTCCCCCAGAGCCTCTTTCTAGATCCCGTTGTATTTATTTCCACAACGGGCTTTACTGCTAGTTAGATATGAACCAGAATGGAGATCTCTGAGTGTTTCTATCCCAGTCAGAAGATGGGAGGTGGTGTTGCAAAGAAGGGACTCAGGCTGTAGCGGTACAATGTGAAATGTGATCCGCTTGATTAGAGCAGGGGGAGAAATGCTTAGAGGCAGAAAATGAGCATCTGTAGTGAGATAAAAATCCTGTGTCCCTATTCAGCCCTGGGGGCCCCATGGCTCTGAAGTTTTAAATGAACTCAAGTTCTGATATTTTAAGTGCTGCAAACACTTGAAATATTTATTGATGTGTTTATTTATTGTTGTGTTTAACATTTATAGGTTTTCGTACGAGTATGCACGGAGACACCAAGAATTGTCACCTCAGTCACTCCTAAGAATTCAGAAAGGGTACCATGATTTGCTGGGGAAGTGCTGCCAACTTGAGAGTCCTGTAGAGTGCCTCTCTGAAGGGGTGGGTTTTATGCAATCACCAGCAGATTCTGAATGATTTCTCTAAGAATGAAACTAGATGCTATGAAATCACAGGGTCCCTGTCCAAAATCCGGCCCTGGGTCAGATCTGGCTGCCACACTGCAAGCATTTCTGCACACTCACTGGTGGCAACCAGTGGTCCACGGTGGAGGCAGAGATAGGCTCTGTGTAATGATTAGGGATGGGCACGAACCAGGGAAATGTGGTTCAGGTTCGAACCATGAACGAAACCTGGTGGTTTTTTCACAAACCGAGGGACCGCAGTCCCTTTAAATGGGTCTTTTGGAAAGCCAAAAAAAGCAGCTGAGTGACGGGGAGCAGCTTGCTTCCCACTGCTCAGCTGTTCCGGGCTGCCTTGTGCCATCCCTGGGCCGCAGAGGACAGTCCAAAAGGGTAGAGTGGTCACCTCCTTGCCTGCTGAGATCTGGCGAGATCAGGCTGGCTCCTGGGCCATCTGGGTCAAGGTCTGACTGCCACAGCCTGACTCCAGAAGACTCACGCATTCACAGTCCGGTGTGGGGGTGCTGTAAGTGCTCTTGGAGCCACTCGCTCCCTCTCCTCCCCACAGAGCCCAGATTCCACAAAGCCCCCCTGGGTTAAGCCAGCTGACACCTGCAGTGTTGACACAGCCTCTGAATGTGAACGCTGGGAAACACGAGGTGTCTGTGGCGGTCAGTCTTGTTTCCAGGTTCCCTTAGAGGAGCCCTCCTGGGTCCATACCTTGTTACTACGAGACAACACAATTGCCTCCCTGTTATATATACACATATTCTTGTGTTGTTTCTGGACCAACAATTTCAAGGGTTATATATCACTTTAGGAACAATGGGAGCCTATTCAGCAGAGGGGCCCATTGACTTAGAAGGGGATCACTCCACTTAGGATGGCACTGAAAGGGGCTTTGGGAATGAATAAATATGTCACGGCTGGAAATATCTACGCTCCACCCCACCCCTGCTTCTTTTCTAACATCTAGTTTGCTGAAGAGTTCTGAAGAAGTCGGCATCTTGTGTTGTGGTCTTTTGGTGGGCCTTTGGCTTTGGACTGAGCTGTGGACCAGCACGGCTCCTCTGCCTTTAAGGAAAGCGGCATCGCTCAGAGGCGGCCGAAGTCCAGGGCTGCCCACTTGGCTTTCTGCCCCTGGCTCCCGCCCCAGCTGACGGTGCCCCTTCCGTCACTGGCTCACCTCTGGCTCCTGTTGCAGCCTTGTGTGACGCACCATCTCTGTCAGTCTCAGCCTGTCCCGCTGGGTTGCCGGTGAAGAGGTGGGGCCACCCTACAAAAGAAATCAGTGTGTATTTGAACAGAGGCGAGTTCTCTGTCATCCCATGCTCAGCTTGAACAAAAGGGGGAAAGATTGGCTGTCTCAGGCTTCAGTTAATGTTTATTACAAGACCAGTGATGCTGCTCTTGGAGAGTATCTAATGCTTCCTCTCAAGGAAGGACCATTTTCAGTTCTTCCCGGATGCCGCGCTCAACAATTCAACTTTCTTTCAGGAAGCTCAGCTCAGAAAACACGTTGCTGACACCCTGGAAGTGATAAGGACCAACTGTGAACTTTATGCAAACCTGGGAGACTACAAATTCCAAAACTTGTATGTTATTTTCATCTGCTTCTACCTTTGGAACAGGGGCTGGGGTTAGGGGGTGATCAAACTAGAGCATTTGAGAACTGCGAGTTTCAGTTCCATGACAGATGAAGTTCCATGGTGAATGTCCCAGATTCAGGCACATTTCTCTGGCTCCCCCCCCCCCAAACCTGTGAGCAGCCAGGAGCAGCCAAGAGCCAGCTGATGCGAGTGTCTCACTCTGGTCTTGAGCTCCTCCTGGCAAAAGCTCATTCCAAACCCCTTCTGCCTGGAACCCACCAAGCCCCTTCGCTTTGCAGGCTTCTCGTCCGCTACACCAAGAAAGCCCCACAGCTGCCCTTTACTGAACTGTACCAGTACTCAGGTCATCTGCTTGCCGTTGCTGCCAAGTGTTGCCCACTGGCTGATGATAAAAAGATGAACTGTGCTGAAGGATATGTGAGTATTCCTGCTTTGCCTTAGCCCTGAAGGTTGCACTGTGAAGGAGGAGCAGGGGGCTGGGTCCTTGTTGGCTGAAACTTGCATTAAAAGCCCCCTGTGTAGTGAACTGGCAACTCTGGCACATTATGCTGCAAGAAAAAGGGGAAGGAGATGAGCAGTGGGCAACACAGAAAGCCGGGTCCTGCTGCTGCTGCTGCTGCCGCAGCTGTGGCACAGCAGGACGTCCATGTGCCGTGCATCCAGAGCATTGTGAGAACCCCAGAAGTGGCACCCGTATTGAGGCATGGCAGTAATGCTTTCAGCTTTAAGATGGATGCCTGCAGCAACACCACACAGTAATCCTTTTTGGAGAAATGTTTTTTCTTGGGAAGAGCAGATAAGCTAGGTGGTTTTGAACAATAATTTTTTGTAGTACAATGTTACTGCAAGATGAGAAATTCTAGGAATGTACACTTATTTTATGAAGCAATGAAAATGCATATTTAATTTCCACTGCAATAGCACCGTATAGTCACAGAGGGGCACACGGATAAGAATGTAAGAGTTATCATTATTTTTACAGCACCATCAGTGGCAGTTTATGAGTAACATTCCCCCCCCCCATGCCCAGAAATGACCACACCAGCCACCCAGTTGCGAGTTAAGCCAGGTCCATTTACCATGTTGGGCTGCATTGCTGCTGCACTTGAGCCCAGTGGATCCTTCGTCTCCGAGGGGCTGCTGGACTCTCCTCCGGCTCTTCTACTGCAGACCAAAATGGCCACCCTCTGAATGGATCTGCACGGATACAGTCTTATTTATTTATCTGTTATTCATAGAACCATAGAGCTGGAAGGGGCCCTTCAGGCCATCTAGTCCAGCCCCCTGCTGCCCAATGCAGGACCAGCCTAAAGCATCTCTGACAAGTATCCGCCCAGCCTCTTCTTGAAAGCTGTCAGTGAAGGGGAGCTCACCACCTCCCGAGGCAGCTGATTCCACCTTTGAACCACTCTGACCGTGAAAAAGGTTTTCCTAATATCCAGCCGATACTTTTCTGCATGTAATTTAAACCCGTTGCTTCGGGTCCTCTCCTCTACTGCCAACTGGAAGCAGCTCCTGGCCCTCCTCCAAATGACAGCCTTTCAGATATTTAGAGAGAGCAATCGTGCCCCCCCTCAATCTCCTCTTCTCCAAACTAAACATTCCTAAAGCCCTTAATCTTTCCTCATAGGGCTCAGTCTCCAGACCCCTGATCATCCTCATCTCTCTCTTCTGCACCTCTCAATTTTGCCCACATCCTTTTTTGAAGTGAGGCCTCCAGAACTGCACACAGGAGGACTCCAGGTGCGGCCCGACCAAGGCAGTATACAGAGGGGCTATATGACCTCCTGCGATTTCGATGCTATGGCCCTTTTAATACATCCCAAGACTGAATTCGCCTTTTTTGCCACCGCATCAGACTGACTGCTCATATTTAGTTTACAGCCCACTCTTACCCCAAGATCTACTCCTCAGAAACGTATCCCCCATCCGATATTTGTGCTTGACATTTGACAGTAGAGCCTAATTATCTACCAGCAGTGCGGAGTCGGTGAAAGCCAAGTAGAAGGAAAGCTCCCAGATCCCTCCCACTGTGATGCCGCCTCCTCCAGCCTTGGCATTGCAAGCCTCCCATTGGATGAGCCAGAGGAAGGGCTGAGCCCAGCCCAGCCCCCCCCCCCCACCCCCCCCCCCCCCAAGTTTCAAAAAGATTGCCCCCACTGCTTCTAGGTACTTCTCTTCATTTGCTCTAGGTGGTGCGTGATTTTATAAAACTAAAGTTAATAGAAGACATGTTACCAGTATTGCATGTAATGAGATTAAGTACTCCTACTTTAAACAAGTTATGCTATTTGCATATTAAATTATTGTTCATCTATATGTCAATTTTGCAACCAAAATGTCTCCCTCTTTCTGTAAAGACGGACCTTGTGTTGGGAAGTATATGTCTGCGACATCAAGAACACGCCATAAACCCCAAAATCTGCCAGTGCTGCAGTAGCGACTACGCTTTCCGGCGGGAATGCTTCAGTGGCATAGAAGTAGATGACGGATACGTTCCTGCCCCCTGCGATCCAGAATTATTCACCCTCCACGAGGATTTGTGCACAGCTAATGCAGATGTGGAGAAAGAGAAGCGCAAGTAAGGAGCGTGGCCAGAGATTGGGCTGGTGATGTGGCTAAAGGGCCCGAGCAGACATGAGCAGGTCCCGATTTGCCCTCCTGTCCTTGTTCTCCTCGGCCTCTGCTGCCTTCCTTCTCTGCCCTGCTCTCTGGGGCTACTGCTTCTTCAGGCCCATGTCTTGTAAGCCAAGCAAATCCAACCCCAGGCCTGCCTCTGAGCCCTAATAAAATGGATCCAAGAGAATCCACTTTAGCAAGAAAGAGCGGGAGTTGATCTGCAACCACTCTCAAATACTTTGCCCCCAAAATAGGGTTGCCAGCTCTAGGTTCGGGCCCGGAGATGACACCATCGCACCGGGCATGTCGCCGGCCGACGCTCTAGCAATCAGCCAGCTACGTGCCTAATGTGATGACGTCACTTCCGGACCAGGACCGGGTCTCTCCCCCCCCCCCCCCCCCTGCCCCGCGGTAACTTGGCAACCCTATTTAAAAGAGGTGTATTAAAGTGTAAGATGACACTGAACCGGTGATATAATGAGATCTGTCCTCAACCATGGAGAAGTAAATATGTAGTTGAGCAGAAACAGAATCTCCAGCAGTACCTCAGAATATCAAAGATCTACCCTGGGCTTCAGAGGCTCCAGGCTCACCTGCTGAGACACCACGGTGATGGCAGGGGGGACACCCCAGCACAGTTTCTCTTCTGAGTAACTTGTTGATGCAGAAGAGTCCACATAGGCCCTTGTGGGTTTGGCCGACCCTTGAACTACTTTGGGGGGGGGAGGAGGTGGTCAGCACCTTCTCTGAAGCGTCGTTCCTTGTCTGTCTCCAGATTGGTACTCTTAAGGCAGGCTCCTGCTTCTTCTTGGGACTAGTTCCGCACTCAGTTTACTCTCTATCTCAGCTAGAGATGTAGTCCAGCCTCTACCTCTGTCTCTCCTCTTTCCTATCAAGTATGTTACTTCCTAAATAAGCCTCTATCTACTGTTTAATCAGGCTGTGCACCACTGCCGTGTTAATTTGCCAACAAAGTCAGACTTCAGTATTGAGAATCAGCATATAAAATCACTTAAAGTGTTTCTGAGACTCTTCACCTTCTCTAATCCCACAAGGATTTGGCCAGTGGTATCAAAGAGCATTGGGGCACTGATTCATGATTCAACCTGCAACTAACTTTTGATCTCACTTCAGGTTGCTTGTCAACTTAGTTAAATGCAAGCCGACCATCACAGACGAACAACTGAAGGCTGTTACCACTGATTTTTATGGAGTAGCAGGCAAATGCTGCCAAACTGAAAACCACGAGCAATGCTTTCACGAAGAGGTATGCTTTAAAAAAAGGAACAACCATCCCATCATGTACATTTCTTTAAGAGGGAGTTGGACCAGAAGATGTAGCCATGGGAGGGGGAGAGGGAGACATAGGGGGCCTGCCTCCCCAGGGCTATCCCACACTCCTTCACTGAACATTCAACTTCTTATTTTTTAAAAATAGTCTCTAGCCCTTTTGCTTATGCAAAAACGAGCAGAAACGGTGTCCTACACAATTGTTCACTAAGCCAGCCATAGATCTACTCTCACCTTCCACTGGCCAAGGATTGCACGCTGAAGGACTGGAAACCCTCAGGACACGAGGGACGGGAGTTTGTCAGCAGAACTTACCTTGTTCTGTGGCAGTCAGAAGTGAGCTGACCCCCAGCTCTGTTCAGTTTGGCACCAAGTGACTTCAGCCTGCAGCTGAACAGGTCTGCATTGTTTTTCCCCATAACTGCCTTCCCCTTCTCCTAGCAGCCTACGGCCTGACCCCAAATCCCCTCCGAGGGAGGGGCTGCACAGTGAGGAGAAGGAACGGGGGGGGGACTGGCCTCCTCTCCCCCCCGCCCCCAGTGGAAAAGGGAGGAGCAGGGGATGCCCCCCCCTCTGAGTCTCCCTCCTCTCTGCAGCAGACCCTCATGCAGAGGTGCTCTTTGGACACGAGATGGTCCCCCCTGGACCCTCAGAGAAGGTTTGTGCGGCTGGGAGAGGAGGGGAAGGGAGGGGAGGGGAAGGCCTCCTCTGTGGCTTCCTTCCTTCCTCCCTCCCTCCCTCCCTCCCTTCCTTCCTTCCTTCCTTCCTTCCTTCCTTCCTTC